TGTTCAGTGCCAACCACCCTCTGGGGGAAGAACCTTTCCCTGAGATCCACCCTGAGCCTGCCCTGACACAGCTCCAGCCATTCCCTGGGGGCTGTCCCTGCTCCCCCCAGAGCAGAGCTCAGTCCTGCCCCTCCTCTGCCCCTGCCCAGGGAGCTGGAACAGCAGTGAGGTCTCCCCTCAGTCTCCTCTCCTCCAGCTGAACACTCCTCAGCTGCTCCTCATAAGGCCCCTCCAGGCCCTTCCCCATCCTCGTGGCCTCCTTTGGACACTCTCCAATGGCTTTAATATCTTTTTTAATATCGTGGTGCCCCAAAACTGCCCCCAGCACTGAGATGAGGCCACCCCAGTGCAGAGCAGAGCTGCTGAAATCAAAACACAGCGTCCTCCACACGTGTGTCCTCCACAGAAGTGGGTGGTTTAACCAAGATGCCCCCCAGCTGGAAACACCTCTAGGCCCAAAAGAGCTGGGTGGACTGACTGATGGATGGCCCTGTCCCTGCCCTCTGTCCCTGGCTCAGGTGGTGAAGATGATGATCATCGTGGTGTGCACCTTCGCGCTCTGCTGGCTGCCCTACCACATCTACTTCACCCTGCAGTACTTCCACCCCGAGTGGTACTTCCAGAAGTTCATCCAGCAGGTCTACCTGGCCATCATGTGGCTGGCCATGAGCTCCACCATGTACAACCCCATCATCTACTGCTGCCTCAACGACAGGTGGGTTTCCAGGGACACCTTCGGAGGGACAGGGACGGGAGGAGGGGGAGGTACAGAGGGGTGTGATGGAGGAGGGGAGGGATGGAGGGATGGATGGATGGATGGATGGATGGATGGATGGATGGATGGATGGAGGGATGGAGGGATGGATGGATGGAGGGAGAGTTTTTTGGGATGGTTCTGCCCCATCCTCCACTAGGGGCTCCTTCCAGCAGATGCTGGAATGGTACAACCCTCACCTAAAGTCTTTCCTCAAGGCCCTATGGGATTTGAGGGATCAAAACAGTCCTGACTCAACTTCCTTGTGAGGGGCAGAGGAGGGGCAGGGACTGAGCTCTGCTCTGGGTGAGCAGGGACAGCCCCCAGGGAATGGCTGGAGCTGTGTCAGGGCAGGCTCAGGTTGGATCTCAGATCTTCCCCCAGGGGGTGGTTGGCACTGAACAGGCTCCCCAGGGTTTGGCCATGACCCCAAGGTTGCCAGAGCTCCAGGAGCATTTAGGCAATGCTCTCAGGGACAGGATGTGACTCTTGTGAATGGTCCTGTGTTGGGTCGATGATCCTTGTGCGTCCTTCCCTTCCAACTGTGACACTCTGAAATGGGGCTTTATCAG